TGTGGTTTTGTGGGCTTACTGGCCACTCATATAACTTCTATGGTGATATGTCTCATTAAATCCCTTGGGCATTTTTTTTTTTTATTGTATTGTCTTCTTTCTTACTGTTGACCTTGAGTTCTTTATAGATTCTGAATACTAGTCCTTTGTTGGATATGAATTTTTGTTTGTTTTACAGAGCAAAAATTTCAAATTTTGTTGAAGTTCAATTTGTCAATATTTTCTCTTACGGGTTGTACTTTTGCCAAATTCAAGGTCATGAAAACCTTCTCCTTCGTTTTCTTTTAAAAGTTTTATGGTTTTACATTTTACATACCTATGATCCATTTTGAGTTAGAGTTAATTTCATTAGTTCGAGATTCAATTTTTTTGCATATTGGATAATCAATTGTTTCAACACAATTTGTTGAAAAGTCTGTTGTTTCTCCATTGAATTTCTCTTGAACTTTTGTCAAAAAACAATTGACCATTTTGAACATATTTATATGGATCTAGTTCTGGACTCTGTTTTCTATTCCACTGATCAATATACTATCCCTTCATCAACACCACATTTTGTAATTACATGGTAAGTTTTAAAATCAGGAAGCATGAATCCTCCAGCTTTGTTTCTTTTTCAAAATTGTTCTGAATTTCTAGCTCCTTTTCCTTTCAATATAAATTTTAGAATCTGTTGATTCATACAAATAATCCTGCTGGAATCTTTATTGGAATCACATTGATCTTTAGACCAATTTGGGATGAGTTTACACCTTAACTACATTAAGTTTTTCAGCTCGTGAATGGTGTGTTTCTCCATTTGTTTAGATCTTCTTTGCTTTGTTTCATCAGTGTTTTGCAATTTTCATCACAGAAATCCTGCACTTTTTTTTTTTTTTACTTACGTGAAATATACAAGTATTTTATTCTTTGGAGCATTATTATTTTTCAAATTTCAGTTTCCAATAGCTCATTGCTAGTATACAGAAATTCAGTGGAGTTTTTTTTGTGTAAACGTGTATCCTACAACCTTGCTAAACTCACTAGTTAGTTCCAAGAATGTCTTTTAAACTCTGTAGGATTCTCTACCTGGACAAGCAGCTCATCTGTGAGAAGGACAGTTTTATTTCATTCTTTCCTATCTCTATGCCTTTTATTTATTCATTTATTTGCATTATTACACTGGCTAGAATTTCCAATATAGTGTTAATAGGAATAGTGAGAGTTTACCTTCTTGCCTTGTTCTCAAACTTAGTGGAGAAAGCATTCAGTCTGTCACCGATTATATTAACTATAGGGTTTTTCTTTTTTTGTGGGGGTCCTCTATCAGGTTAAGGAAGATAAACTGGATTACTTGTTTGCTGAGAGTTTTTGTCATGAATAAATGTTAAGTTTTGTTACGTTTTTTCAGCACAGATATGATCATGTATGTTTTTCTTTTTAGTCTGTTAACATGCTATATTACATTGCTTTCTGAATATTGAATCAACCTTGCATTTCGACTTGGATGTCATGTATTATTCTTTTTAAATATTGGTGGATTCAATTTGCTTTTTTTTTTTTTTTTTTTTTTTTTGCGGTACGCGGGCCTCTCACTGTTGTGGCCTCTCCCGTTGCAGAGCACAGGCTCCGGACGCGCAGGCTCAGCGGCCATGGCTCACAGGCCCAGCAGCTCCGCAGCATGTGGGATCTTCCCAGACCGGGGCACGAACCCGTGTCCCCTGCATCAGCAGGCGGACTCTCAACCACTGTGACACCAGGGAAGCCCAATTTGCTAATATTTTGTTGAGAATTTTTATGTTCATGTTCATGAGGGATATTGGTCTGTCGTTTTCTTTCTCTGTATCGTCTCTGTGTGATTTTAGTATCAGGGTAATGCCGGCCTCAGAAAGCAAGTTAGGAATTGCTCCCTCTTCTATTTCTGAAAAAGTTGGTGTAAAATTGGTGTTGTTATCTTTAAATGTTTGGTGGAATTTGCCAATAAAACCATCTGAGCCTGGAGGGTTTTTTTGGAAGCTTTTCAACTGTGAATTCAGTCTCTTTAATAACTATAGGTCTTTAAGGGTTGTCTATTTCTTCATGGGTGAGATTTTATAGTTTACAGTCGATTTCATCTAAATTTTTTTCTAAAGTTGTTTGTACTATTCCTTTATCATCCTTTTATTGTCTATGGGTTTTTAGTCCTATCCTCTCTTTAATTATTGATATTCATAATTTGTGTCTCCTCTCTTTTTTTTAAATCGTACACATAACAGCACTATTTTAAAAAATCAATTAATTAACTTATTTTTGGCTGCGTTGGGTCTTTGTTGCTGCGCGTGGGCTTTCTCTAGTTTTGGCGAGCCGGGGCTACTCTTCGTTGCGGTGCACGGGCTTCTCATTGCGATGGCTTTTCTTGTTGCAGAGCACGGGCTCTAGGTGCATGGGCTTCAGAAGGTGTGGCATGTGGGCTCAGTAGTTGTGGCTCACGGGCTCTAGAGTGCAGGCTCAGTATTTGTGGCACACAGGCTTAGTTGCTCCGCAGCGTGTGGGATCTTCCCGGACCAGGGCTCAAACCTGTGTACCCTGCATTGGCAAGTGGATTCTTAACCACTGCGCTACCAGGGAAATCCCTCTTCTTTTTATTATTTCATTGTCAGTCTTGCTAGATATTTATCAATTTTATTAAACCTTTCAGTGAACAAGCTTTTAATTTCACTGATCTTTTCTATTGTCTTTATCCTTTTAATTTTATTGATTTCTGCTCATCTTTACTATTTCCTTTTTGCGCATCCTTTAGGTTTATTTTACTCTTCTTTACTACTTTATTTAATGTAAAAGTCTGTTACTGATTTGAGACCTTTCTTATTTTTTTAAATATTCCTAGTATGAATGTTTAACGCTATAAATTTTCCTCTAATCACTGCTTTAGTTGCATACCATAAGTTTTAATATGTTCTATTTTTATATTCAGTTCAAAATATTTTCTAATTTCCCTTGAGATTTCTTTGACTCATGGAGTATTTATGAATATGCTGTTTAATTGTTAACTATTTGGAGATTTTCTAGTTATTCTGATATTGACTTCTAACTTAATTCCATTATTTTTAGAGAACATTCTTTATATGATTTCAATTCATTTATATTTGTTAAGATTTGTTTCATGACCACGAATGTAGTCTATATTTGTGAATGTTCCATGTGCACTTGAAAAGAATGTGTATTCTGTTGCTGGGTAGAGTGTTTTATAAATGTTGACTAGATCCCACTGGTTGGTGGTAACGTCCAGTTCTTTATCAATGGTTCTCATCTGGCAATTTTGCCCCTCAGTGGACAGTTGGCAATGTTTAGAAACATTACTGGTTGTTCAACTAGTGGAGAGCTACTGGCATTTAGTGGGTAAAATATTCTTACTTTCCGCTGCTAAACATCCTGCAATGCACAGGACAGGCCTTTCCCCCACCACCACCCCATCCCTGCCAACAGCAAAGAATTATCTAGCCCAAAATGTCAACAGAGCCAAGGTTGAGAAACCCCATTCCTTGCTGATTTTCTCTCTAGTCCTATTGATTACTGAGAGAGAAGTATTGATAGCTCCAACTCTAATTGTATATTTGCCCATTTTTTCTTTCAATGTTATCATTTTTTGCTTCATCTATATTAAAGCTCTCTTGTTAAGTACACCTTTTTCCATTCTTTTAGTTTAACTTACTTTTGTTTATTTAAAGTGTTTTTCTTATAGATGGCATATAATTGGCTCTTTTTCTTTTATAATCCATTCTGAAAACTATCCATTCCGATTGCTCTGGAGACTAAAATATACATACTTATCTTTCTACAGCCTACTTAGAATTAACATTTTACCACTTCCAAAGCAATGTAAAAATCTTACCTACCTCACAGGTGTCATTAACTTCCCCCATTATGTTGTAGTTGTCATATGTATTCCATCTACATACATTGACAGTTATAATTTTTGCTTTCAACCATCATTCGTATTTTAAAGATTGTAAGAGGAGAAAAACAGCCTATTATATCTACCACATATTTACATTTCCATTGCTCTTCCCTTATTCTCAAGGTCCAAGCTTCCCTCTAGTATTGTTTCCCTTTCATCTAAAGACTTCTTTTATCATTTCTTTGATAGCAGCTCAACTAGTGGCAAATCTTTTTATTTTTCATTTATCTAAGAATGTCTATTTTGCCTTCATTCATAAAGGATGTTTTTATTTACTGTCTGGCTGACAGTTCTTTTTTTTCAGCATTATTTTAAAAATATTTTCCCAGTACCTCTGGCCTTCACAGTTTCTAGTGAGAAACCTGTAATAATTTGTATGCTGTTCCCCTGTAGGCAACGTGTTGTTTTTTTCTTTAATTTTTGCTTTAATTATGAGCAGTTTGATAACGTCTGAACGTGGATATCTTTGAGTTTATTTATCCTGTTTGCAGTTCACTGAGCTCCTTGAATCTGTAGTTTTTATGTCTCTCACCAACTTTTGGAAGTTTTTACCCATTTTTCCTTCAAATATTTTTCTGCACCACAAGCCTTTATCCTCTTCTTCTTCTTCTAGGATGTATCTTTATATCTATATTGATATATACACGTATATTTTGAGCAGGTAGTCACAGGCTACAAGTTCTGGCAAACCTTCTGTAGATTCTGTAGACTACGTTTATAATGTCCATTCAGTTTGCAAAGAATTTACAGTACTATTCGAATCAGCCCTTCGTGTTGCTATCCAGGCACCAGTCTGAAACCTGCACAGTGCTCAATTCACAAAGCCTTTGGGTTCAGGGTTTGGGAGTAGGTACTCAAGACCCTGTTCAGGGTTTGGTCTATTCGTGGGCAGCTCAGGGTGTATCCTGGAGTTCACATACAACTTTATTAAACTCTCTCCTCTTTGCAATCTCCCCAACACTTTGTGGTTCCCAGGAGTTGCCCTCCCCTCCTTGGTCTTCTGGCTAGAAATCCAGGGAACTTGTTTTCTAAATCTGTTGTGTACTTCCTGTCACGGTTTCTCTCTCCAGGGCCAAGTAGCAGTGGGATAGAGAGGAAAAAAGCAAACTTCCAAACACCTGGGACAACAGTTTGGTCAAAGACAATGGTTCTCCCCATTTAGAGTCTTAAGTGCCTGCATGCCTGACTCGAGTGATACAGGATTGCCTGGGGCTGAGGCAGAAGCGAATGGAAAAGATGAATAGAAAGAAACGGGATCTCCCTCACCCTGACCCTAAAAGGCCCCGTCTCCCTGTCCTTGGCCAATGAGGGAGGTTTTTGTTGGAAATCTGTCATCACTGGTGCAAAGTTGGTCTTACTTTGAGTTGCCTCTCCAATCTGCCTTATACCACTTATCTTCAGAGTCCTTGGGCCTTTTGCTGCATTCACTGGGTGAGACGGGCAGAGCGCACTTACTCCATCTTAACTGTGACTGGAACCCCAGCTTTCATTTTTAAACTGCTTTGCCCCATCTGGTTCCACACAGCTGTGTAATACAGATATTTCAATACTGGTGAACACAGTACTGTCTTTGGTAACCAGCCAATCATGCCTGAATGTGGTCGGTTCACTGTTTCTAAAGAATAGGTTCAGCTTACAAGGTCCGCTCCAAGGAACATCAATGCGGCTGAGAGCTGAGAATACTCTCATCGGGCTATTGTGGAGGGCTCCATCCATCTCAGGAGGCTCTGATCCAGTAGGACTTGCATAGGGTGGAATCCTCAAACCTTCAGCCAGGAGTGGCAAGAGCAGGATTTATAATAAGCATGTGGGAGGCATTTCTACCTACTTGCCTTCGGCACTGAGGATTACTGTACAAGGAAAACATGTGATACTAGGCTCACAGAGCCTGATTGCTGGTGCTCCATGTGTTACACAAACATGGTTCCTGATAAAGGGCCTGGATGATGAAGTAGAGAAAGCGCAGAGCACCTCTCCCACCCATCCCTGCTGGAGATGGAGGAAGCAGTGCGAGCATTTATCTCCTGACAGCACGCTTCTGTCCAGAGTGGGAGCTTGGTCCAAAATAGCATCTCAGCGAGCAAGAGACACCAAGCTGTAGAAAAGAAAAGAGCCTCTAGAACAGGCAGGCCGGTTGCGTCCTCCTCTTGACTGTAGACCTTCCTCCTCCTGAGCCTCGGTCTTCTTCTCTTTATAGTGGGGATAAGCCTGTGGATCTTGCTGGATTGTTGAACATTAAAATCAGTATGTGCCAGGTTCCTGATAGTAATGTTTAATAGTTAACATTATCAAGCTTTTACTATGTGCCAGACACTGCTGTAAGCGCTTTATAGTTTAGATAATTTACACTCCCTTAGAGTCCTAAATGGGAGCTGTTTTCACAAATAAGGAAATCGAGGCACTGAAAATTTAAGCACATTATTTATGGTAGAACTGGACTTCTAAGCAAGCACTGTGAGGCCAGAAATTACCCGTCACTCTGTACGTTCTACTTCTCCGATGGCAGAAATCTGTTATCACACCTATCGGTGCAGAGGTGTCTACAGTTGGATCTCAGTGTGAAGAGTGTGAGGGGAGGAAGACAAGGTGGGTAGGAGGTGGGAGAAGGCAGCATTCTCTTCAATTCTGCCAGGCTCCACCCTGGCCCCTCTTCCGTGCTCATGGGCATGGTGTAGGCACATTTTCCTACCTGGGGGCTTAGCAAAGACTTCTCTGTGCTGCATTTATTTGCACTGCAGTTATAGTAGCCAAGGCCTGACTAGTTCCTCTGGGTCCAGAAGGTGAGGAGGGATGTAATACACAAGTCATTCTTAACTCCCACCTTTACTCCCTTATATCCAGGCTATGTTCCTTCTGAGAACTCAGCAGTCCCACCCCAGGAACTTGTGGGATAACTCTAAGAAAAGACTAGATTTAAGTGAGGGTCTGGGAAATGGCAGATATCCAAGACATTATCTCCCGACCCTCCCCACACACACCCAGGAGGGGGAATATGTGAAAGCCCAAGACAATGGAGAGATTCCCAAGTCGGGGAATGGCACAGCCAGAGGGGTGTTGAGCATCCTTCAGGCCAACCCTGAACCTCCCATTTTACATCTGGGAGCACTGAGGTCTGAAGAGGGCATTCAACTGCTGAAGATCTTCGGCTAGGCTATTTCTGCTGATGACCTAATTCCTCTCCACTCCCCTCTTTCTCTCCTTTCAAACCATTAGAAAGTGAAGCATTATGATGTGGGGGGAGTCCAGTACCCTATGTCATCTCCTAACTGGATATCTTTTCTCTTCTTACCAGAGTCTATCTTCTAGCAGTTTCATGTGACTTTTTTCTCTAACTGATCACCAGTCAATCAGAACAACATACTTCAAACATACCTCCTTACTAAAAGAACATGGCCAAGGGTGGGAAACGCCCCAAGGGTAAAAAGATCACCCTCAGCGTGGCCAAGAATTGTATCAAGATCACATTTGATGGGAAGAAACGCCTTGACTTGAGCAAGATGGGAATTACCACCTTTCCCAAGTGTATTCTGCGACTCAGTGATGTAGATGAGCTCAACCTTAGCCGGAATATGATCAGGAAGATTCCAGACTCAATCTCCAAGTTCCAGAACCTGCGGTGGCTGGACTTGCATAGCAACTACATCGACAAGCTCCCTAAGTCCATCGGCCAGATGACCTCTCTGATCTACCTCAATGTCAGCAACAACAGGCTGACCACCGATGGGCTGCCTGTGGAGCTCAATCAGCTCAAGAATATCCGCTCTGTGAATTTCGGTCTGAACCACCTGGACCGCGTGCCCACCACGCTAGGCGCTCTGAAGGAGCTCCAGGAGGTGGGGCTCCATGACAACCTGCTGAGCACCATCCCCAACAGCATCTCCAAGCTCCCCAAGCTGAAAAAGCTCAACACAAAGCGAAACCCCTTTCCCAAAGCAGAGGAGTCAGATACGTTCGTAGATTCCATCAAGAGGCCGGACAACCTACATCTGGTGGAGGAGAAGGATCTATGTGGGCCTTGCCTGAGAAAATGCCAACAGGCCCAGGACAAGCTGAACAAAATCAAAAGCATGGCCACGGTGGAACCGAGAAGGGCCATCTTTTCCAGTTTGGTCTCACCCAACTCCACGGCCAAGGAATCCCAGGAAGAGTGGAGGTGACCTGGGACCCTGACCCTAAGGCAGGAAGGGAAAAGGGAGGGAGGCGAGATGACAATGGGCTACATCCTCACAAAACTGAGGGATTCTTCCGTTACTGCGATTAGCTCCTCCAGCCAAGCCCATAAAATCCCTTTCCCTACCTCCTTGGCTTGTGATTTTGTTGACCGAAGGGCTTTTAGTTCTTTGCCATGCCGTACACTTCTGTCTTCTCTGCGTGCACACACCCGCACATACAAGCACAATGAGTCAGGAGAGGGATATCTGTCTCACTTCTGCCCCAGAACTCTCCTGCCTACAGCCCATGGCCTGGGCAGCTGACACCGCCAGCACACTCTTAGTCTCATTATCACACATTTCTGGACCAACTACCAGCTCCCCAGTGTGGAGCCTGTTCTATTGGAATGTTTTGGGCCAGGCTTCAAAAGTCAGGCATCTCTAAGCATGGGCTGGTAGGCGGCAGATGGACATATAGTCTTGGCAAGGGGACAAAACTGGACCACAGAGATGGGCAGATATTATCACTAAGTATTGGCATTAACATCTTGGGCTCTAAGCAGTCCTATCCCTTTCTCTTTTCTGCACTTGCATAGTTTGCTCTAGGAGCTTTCTAGACTAAACCTGCAAGCCCTTGACTGGCTGTGAATGAATGAGGTTCACTCCCATCTTATTATGTCCAATGCTTTTCCAGACCTTTGTGGAATAAGGAAAGAATGGGTGCAGATAGGGGTTGGTGTAGTCAATAGATAAACACCTTACTAGGCACTGTGCTAGGTGCAGGGACTGTGTCCAATGGGGGAAAGCTTGTCTTGCCCTTTGCAACCTGTAGGGAAGACAAGTTGAAAGAAGACTTTGTTCTTTATAATGCCATTGTTTGAGGAAGTTAGGAGATCAGAGCCTAGTGGTGTGCAGGGCCAGCCTGGCATAGAGAAAAAGCCAAAGGCTCTGCAGTTGGACAGATCTGAGCCCAGAGCAGCTCTGCTTCTTACTTGCCATCTCCCTGGACATTTTACTTAGCTTTGGTCCTTTCATCTGTAAAGTGGGAGTAATACCAGCCCAACTCCAAGCGTTGTCATGCGTCTCAAGCAGATAGCTCACAGAGTGAGTACTCAGTAGAAGTCAGTTCTCTCTAAGAACTAGAGCTCGGTGCATCTTAAAGCTGAAATACTACTTTGAACAGTGTCTTCAATCACTCTAGAACTCACAATAGCTGAGAACCTTCCCTGTACCACTCACTCACACCTTTATACTGCCTAAAAGAAAGGGATCAAGGAAGATAACCTTAGGAAAGTTTTTCATTGTTGTTGTTGTTTGTTTGTTTGTTTTAAATCAAAGCTTTCCTGTGTTGGTGGCAAGTTTTGTAAGGGGTCAGTGGAAAAGCCCTGAGAGAGAAATATACATTAGTTCAGCATGACTAACGTATTTCTTTTTCATGTTATAAACCACAGCAGACAGCATACTTCATTTCTTCACTCCTCACTGCTTATTTTCCTTTGAAATGCTTAGCTGTGACAACTCTATCATATTTCTAAAATCTCTGAAGATATAGATTCAAAATTCCCTTTCCAGTTTTTCTCTTTCTTAAATGTTTTCTATTATAAAAGTAACAATACCACAACATAGTTTTAAATATAGCAGCTTAAAGTATCCACAATTCTACAGTGTAAGCCAGCTGTAATACTGACAGATTTCTTTACCAGTTATTTTTCTGTGTATATTTTATACATAGTTAAAATAATAGCATTCACATCATTTTTATCCTGCTTTGAAACCCATTGTGGTTACATGGTCTTAATAACCATAATTTAAAACATCTGTACGATAGTCAAACATGGCTATACATAACTATAACAAATTGTTGGACATTTAAGTTGTTTCCTCTTTTTCACTAATAGAAATCATTTTGTGATGAGGCCTGTATGATTAAGATTTTTTTAATGTATTAAAGGGTGTGGTTTTTAAATAATTTTTGATACATGTTAGTAAGTAGCTTATAAAAAGTTTACACCCATTTATATATCTACCAGTAATATATTAGGGAACTCATTTCACTGCACCCTTGTAAGCACTGAATGTCATTCTTTATATTTTTCCCTTCATTTAATGTCCTCAATGATTTCTTAGAAGCCCTTCTACAGATGAGAGGAGGACACATGTCTGTGAAGTGCATGATGAGATGTCATGCCTTAGGCCCGGGAGACCCCACTAGACTGTTGGGCCTTGAACATGTCCCTAAGTAGCCATCCTGCTATTTCATATACTTCATCTCTGACCCAAGAAGCACAGAATCCAGGCAGGGGCATTTGAGCCCAACAGAAAGTGATGGCTAGTTATCTAGATACTGAGCATTTCTATTCCTCCCGCTTGAGACACTTTTTCTTCAGAATTAATGAGTTAAGGAAAAAGATCTCCCTGTGCCCCTACAAAGTGTCTTGGTCTGGACCCCAGGTTTGCCCCTCTACCCCCTCTCCTGACCATTGCAGCAACTTCCTCCACTGTGCTTGGTTTCCAAAATCTCTCTCCAGCCCCTCTCCTGGATTTACCTCCAACTGAGTGGCTGGAATGCAAGATGACATTTTTTGCCATCCTTGAGCTCTAGGTGCTTTATGCTGCTTTCATTCTTAGAGCCGTGTCTTAGGAAGGGGTTTTAAGTGCATTGAACTGCACCAGGATTGAGGAATAAACAAGCAGGGGGCTTTGACTTGCCCCAGGATACATTCACCTTAGACCCCTGGTTCATCAGAAAATCCGGGCAGTAAGATGAATTGAAGATGGGAGATAGAACTCAGTTAGGAAACATCTTCTATATTTTATTTCTTTTTCTGCCAAGGAAGGGTGTAATGTTAATGTTCCCTCATGCCCTAAAATACTGCAGTCATCTTTACTTTCTGGAGAGTATATTAGGCCCCAAAATACTTGACAGGAAAGTCACAGGGTTTTCTCTTTCTTCAAATAGAACAAAACCCCTATTCACACGTTATAACCCAGTCACCACCCTCTCTGAAAGCCAGGCATGACCTAGGTGACCCCCGTGCAACCTCTGCCCTCGCTGTGTTTTGCCTCCATGACCTGGAGTAATTGCCTTGGCCTCTTCATCCCTAGGATACGCTCAACATCTCCCTAGAGTAGCTTATGACAAAAACTTGAAGGCTAATCAGCTCTGAAGAAGAAAAGCCCTCACTTAGGAGAAGAGAGTGGCAAGGGAAACGTTCTGGAAGCCAGGCTCTCCGGTGCCGGCCAAGCCACTGACTAGCTTCTTAAATTCATTTTGCCTCTCTTGCTTTAGACTATCTGTGTGTGAAAATGACTTTGGGAAATATTCTGTGTGTGTTTTTTAAATTTATATAGAGGAAATGTTTAAGAAAATGATAGACATAAATTATAGACGGTTAAAAATTGAAAAGAAGACTTTAAGACTTAAAAGACTTATGGTCTCTACACTTCACTTGAACTGGTGAAATCCCAACACCAGTTGCCTCTTATAAGTTATGTATGTAAAATGCAATACCTCAAGCAACTAAAATCTATACAAAGAATTTATACCAAAAAAACCCAAAATACTATAGACAAATCAAAGTAGAATTTTAACAAATCTTTCAGTAATGCAAAGGTAGGCAGGAAAAAGAGACAGAAATGAACAACAGAGGAAAAAACAGGAAATGAGAAATGAAATGGCAGACTTATGTCCTAACATAATTACATTAAATGTGGATTGTCTTCTTTACTTGTAATAGCCCCAAACTAGAAACAAGCAAACTTCCCTCAAGAGGCTAGTGGTTAAACCAATTCTGATATATCCATATCATGGAATACTATTCAGCAATAAAAAGGAGCATATGATACACACAACAGCTTGGATGGATCTCAAGGGCATTATTCTGAGTAAAAAAAGGCCTATCTCCAAAGGTCACAGACTCTACGATTCCATTTATAGAAAATTCTCTACATGATGAAATGGTAGAGATGAAAAACAGATCAGTGGTTGCCATGGGTTAAGGATGATGAGCTGTGTTAGAGGGTGGGCATAACCAGGAAATGGTAGCATAAGAGATATCTTTGTTGTGATAAAAGTAATTGCGTATGTTGATAGTGGTGGTGGTTTCAAGAATCTACACATATGATAAAAAGGACAAAGAACTATGCGTATATATCATACCAATGTCAATTTCCTGGTTTTGAAACTGTACTATAGTTACATAAGATGTAACCATTGGTGGAATTTAAGTGAAGGCTGCATGGGGCCTCTCTGTATTATTTTTGCAATTTCCTGTGCATCTATAGTTATTTTAAAATTAAAAAAAAAATCTTACAGACTATATGCAGTAATAAACAGATCTTTCTGTATCTGCCAAGTGCTAATTTATGAGTAACTATGGCAAGCTTAAAGTTCCTCAATCATTCTGAAGAGTTAAGGCATTTCAGGAGAAAGAGCACCTTAACTTCAGATCACTGGCCTAACTTAAAATTATCCATGTTGGGCTTCCCTGGTGGCGCAGTGGTTGAGAGTCCGCCTGCCGATGCAGGGGACACGGGTTCGTGCCCCGGTCCGGGAAGATCCCACATGCCACGGAGCAGCTGGGCCCGTGAGCCATGGCCGCTGAGCCTGTGCGTCCGGAGCCTGTGCTCCGCAATGGGAGAGGCCACAACAGTGAGAGGCCCACGTACCGCAAAATAAATAAATAAATAAAAAGTAAAAATAAATAAATAAAAAGTTTAAAAAAAAAATTATCCATGTTGATCTTACCCTTGAAGATTCCTGAGAAAGATGTTAAAATAATAAAAAGACAATGCATGGCTTCTCAACCCATGTCCCAGGTTTTCTGGTGGTGGCTGGGTACAAGTAGAAAGTGGGGTGGGGGGACCGTGAGCCAGCAAGTTGCTCCTTTCACAGTTCTGGACTTTAACGCACCTGCCCACTGCCCTATGGAAGCACCTTGAATGGGTGGACAAAGGGGCCAGGCTTGGTGCAGAGATCAGGGCTTAAGTTAGGCTTCTGCCTAGAAACAGGTCTGAGGTCACGGCTAAGGATAGAGCTAAGAGGAGACATGAACAAGTAAGACAAGGAACAACACGAATGGGGGCCAAAACAAGATCTGAGCAGGACCCAGGCAGAGCTCACCACAGGTCACTGGGCTCCACTACCCATTGCCTGTTGAGCCAACCATGTGAGAAGCTCCACAATGCCAGGGCATTGGTTATCCCACCAGGGTGTTTAGTTCACCTCTGGTTCCAGTGATTCTGCTCTAACCCGAGGGTCTGAGCTGTATAGCCCCTACAATTGCCCTCCCAAGGTGTGCTTTACCAAGAAGCCCAAGGAGCATGTTTCCCCATTCAGTGATGGACCTGAACGTTCTCTTTATCAAAGTAACCATGCACATTACAGATTCTCAGCCTCCCAACTGGTCATCAGTGATGATCTCTGGAAGAGTAGGGACTGAAAAGGCAGAAGTGGGGAGGCAGAGTCCTTGAAATTTAGCCTCCAGGCTGCTAGCAGTGGTGCCCTGATTATCGTGGAAGAATCATCTTCTTATGGGAATTTACAGCTTCTTATGGTTGTTTTTCTAAGTTCTTTGTTTTTCATTATTTTTCAAAGATACTCTGTAAAGGAAACTCATTCTTTAAAGGAAAGCTATAAAGGACAGTACATACTCAACTGCAGAACTTCGTGCCAAAAAATGAATTTCATCCTAACCATTACATTTAAGTTAGCTACACAACTGAGAGAACATTTCAGAAATTACAGACGTGCAGATACAGTAAGGCCCCAAGTATAAGCACTGCCTCACAACCAACAGCTTCTTCCAGCCCAGGGACACTTGTCTTGACGGCACAGCAAGTGAGTATTTCAGAACTTGTCAGGGACCATGGCTGTGGAAGGATGCCTTTAGCCCATTCAAAGGTGTGTACGGTGTGCAACAGAGATTTGAGAGAGGAAAGGCCAGACAGGCAACCAGGCCTTGTATTTCCCTGAGTTTTCTAAACTCTGGGCTCAAGAGGAACTGAGATCACTGGGAAGCAATGGAACTGAGCCAGATCATGCTAGCGCCCCAAAGAAATGTCTGTACAGAAATAAGCCCAAATATTAGGGCTCTATTTTTTCAGAGAATCAATATAGAAAATTATATTCTATAGTGCTCTTTTTCTTTTTTTATAGAAAGGGAATTACCTTCTTTGTTACCCACTATCCTATTTACTCAGTGCCAAGAGAAAGTATGTTCCAGAACAAAAAAGTCCCCCAAACTGTCTGTTTCTTGTGATCTGTCACTGGAAAATGATGTAACCTAGCACAGTTGTGTGGTTTTTCTTAGTTTCAGGACAATTACAGTGACTAGATCATTCCAGGTACCTGATATCACATCTATGTTTTTGTCCTTTAAAGGAGTTTGGGAGGAATTTTTAAAGGATCCTTATACCCTGTATTTAGTTTTGAAACTGTTTCCAGCCCTTTGTGGAAGGGTACAGATAACTTTAAGTATAAAGATGTGTGTTTCTTCACATATTCATTTTCAACTAGCTTCCCTTTCCCTGTAACTTCAGCTATTCTCACGTCTCTGCAGAGCCTACCTATGTCTAACGTCGTGGAGTTTTCTGGCCATCAGACACGTATCCAGGGGCATCTAGCTGCCTTTACATTAGAAGCCCCTATATGCTTGCAGAGCCTTGCACCTCACAGATGTCCGATTATGCCACCATGCTGGCTTCAGAATGGTCTAGTCTTGTACCATGGGGAGACAGAGGAGGATTATGGATCCCAGGCTGACCTCAGCTTTGCAAGTATTTTCTACTTGGGATTCAGGCCCATAGAACATCCTTGGAATTCAGTTATGGAGGCAGCCATTGTCACCGAAATTCTAGGCAAAACTCTGGTATCCAAAAGCTCTGGTTTCCTGTACATGGGAGATGGCCTCTAGAGGGGCCAGATCAGTCGTGAAGAGCTGGGGGTTGAAGATATGAAAACCTGTAGCACAGGCCAAGCATCTTGGGCCAGGTGAAAACCTGCAGGATGGATCACGCACTCCTTCAGAGAAGAGCAGCTCATGTTTGCTAGAGTGTGCAAAGTGCAGGCAGGCATTTTGAAAGACTCGGTGTATGAATTGGGCTTTGTCCTTGGTAATCCAAACAAAAAATGGCCAAGTTCATTCCAGGCATGGGGCAATGGCCAGCCAAGCCTTTCTTAGACTGGGAGCCACTACTGCCTTCCCCTCTGAAACTCACGTAGGCACACTGTGGCTGGTAGGAGAAGCGCTGGGAGAAACTCAAAGAGCTGAGAACACAAACGCCTGTATTTAATCAACTGCTCCATAAACATGCCCAAAATACACAGCAGTTGATTCTAAAACTAAGCAAAGGAATTACATTTATTGAGCACCTACTATGAGCCCAAATCAGGTTGATCCCGAAGTCCATGGCTGACCGCAGCAGCACAGCCTCACCACACGCCCTGGCTGCTTGGGTGGTCTCAGAGCCTAGAACCAGCTCTTCAGCTTCCTCATTTTGTCAAAGCTCTTCTCCCATGAGCTTACATATGTATTTCTCTGGAGCACCTCTCCCTTGACTTTCGAAACATATATCCAATGACCTACATGACATCTCCACCTGGATATCTGAGAGGCATCTCAAAATTAACACGTCCAAAATCGAGCCCCTGATATCCACTGCACCACCAAAGTAGTTCCTCACGTGGTCTTCCCCATTTCATCTTCCAGTTGCTCAAGCCCAAATGCTTGGTCTTATCCTTAAGTCCTTTCTCTCACACACACATTCCCCACCCACACCTGATTTGTCAACAAATCCCACTAGATGTACCTTCAATCATGTACAAATATGTCCACAATCTGAGCACTTCACACCATCTTTACTGCCACCACCACCCCCAATCCAAGCCAGCATCATCTCTCACCTGCATTACTGCAAAAACCTCCTAACCAGTATCCTAGCTTCTGCCTTTGACCTACTATGTTCTATTCTCAACACAGAAGCCAGAGTAAGTCTTTTAAAATATAAGTTAGGTCACAAGATCCCTCCAATGTTTCCCATTTATTCAGAGTAAAAGGCGACCCCATTAGCATGAGCCCCCAAGGCTTACATGAACCCTGCTCCCTCTCTGCTCCCACTCTCTGCTCCCACTGACTCACTGCACCCAACCACTATGGCCCCAGCCAAGCCCACCACACTTCCCCTCGGGGCCCTTGCTCTCCTCTTTCCTTGGCCTGAAATGTTCTTTCTTCAGTTATCTGAATAACTTGTTTCCCCACTTTGTTCAAGTCTTAATTCAAATATTAACTTTCTGGGTGAGGTCTTCCCCTACCAACCTAAGATTTCAAACCCTACCTCGATCGACTTTGGTTGTTATCATTATCTAATATGCTTTATATTTCATTCATTTTGCTTTCTTTCTCACAAGAATGTAAACTCAATAAATGGGGAGATTTTCAGTATTTTGCTTGTTTCTGTGAAGCAGCGAACACTACACATAACAAGCTATGGGTAAATCCTTTTAAATAAACTGATGACACCCATTCCATAGTCATTATAAATATTTTGAACATATCTCCTCCCTGCCCTAGCCCCACATACTCCTGGAGAAAAATAGCAATCACTGTCCTCTTCCTATTCCCCTTCCTAACTGAAATAAAAGCACCTACCAATCCGGAACTGGCCTTCCAGAGAACTGGGTACTTGTAAGGCAGGGGCGGGGGGGCACTTACGAAGGGGTCGTAAGCACCTTGTTTCCTGGGAAAGAGGCTCCATATCGCAGACTCATAAATTAGCATATGCTTTGCACATCACTGTACATTTATTTATTTAGCTTCTGAGTTTTCAGAGCCTCGAATAGCAAGGACAGACCTGGGACTGCGTACACCTCAACCTGAGGGCCTGACACCAAGGCTGGGCCTGGGCTGCCCCCTCTACGGGCAACCTGCCCCCCACCCACCACAGGCAGAGGTGGTTTCCTGCCATTTTGGTCTGAACAAGCCTCAGAGCACTTGGGACTTCAAGGCTGTTGTAGAGGTTTAATTGGCAGAAGGAACTAGGGGAGTAGGATGAGGGTTGTACGAGGATGGGAGAGAGAAAAATTAAGCAGAAGGCAGACTGACACGCTCTTTGCATGCCTTCTTAGTAGCAGGGTCAGGCCAATGAAGAAAGTCAAAGCAAGGCCAACACCTTGCCCAGAGAGCATGGCTGGCCTCCTCCCTGCACGTTACCTTAGGTTGAGCGGGTCCTCCGTGAAGCCTTTTCCTTTCAAGCCAGGTTGGAAAGAGCAGAAGCTAGACGAAGAGGGAAAGGATTATTCTATCAGCAGAGTCAAGACTCTTCCACCACCATGGGAACATTTTCAGAGGCAGGCTAGAGGTTGGGTTTATTCTTGCCCTTCCAGTGGGCCCCATTTGCCCCTAGATCAGGGTGTACCTCTGAGGCATCCCATCAGCACCCTCTGCCATTATATGCTCTAGCCTTAATAATAGCAATGATGGCAATAAAACAATAGTTACAATAAAAATTACATGTTTTAGAGACCTCCTCTGGGCCAGCACTGGCATTTCCATTGCTGATTTTAGCAGCCACTGTAGTACTCTAGGGACAAGTCCCATCTTACTTTCATGCTCTTTGAACAAGGGTGGGGTGTGGTTGGCACTATTCATTGTCTGAGTTATGGATGTATAAGACTTCTAGCTCGACTGTGAAAAAAACGTCGTTTAATGCACAGAAATCACAAGGGAACATGAACCTGAGGTTCAGCATTGCATGTCTACTTCTTCGGTTTGGTCTAAAACGGAACTTGAAGGCATTTTAGGAGGCGATATAACAGCAGTCCTTCGCAGAACCTCAAACGGAGAATCACAGTCAATGGAGACGCACCCAGAGCTGGCTCAGACAGCCTCTCTGCGAGAGTTGTTTTTCTCCACTCTGGCCCTGCCCTTGGGACCCAGCAGCTGGTCCTGGTGCCAGTGACTGGCCAGGGCCGACAGGAAGGTAAGGCTAGAACCTCTGAGCACAAAATGGCCTGGGACATGCAGGCCAGGGATGTCAAATCTCACCTCAGAACTTTCAACCCTAAGTGGAGCTAAATGTGACCACTTCTCTATTAATCCAGCTTCTGTGTGGTCTGTTTATGGCTAGGAGCCTGCCTTTCCTTTGGCCTCTTCTAGATTCTCTGCAAATCTACATATCTCTAACTTTGATAATATAAATTTAAAATTTAAACTCTAGCTTAAACTCCTTAGATTGATTAATCTCTTTGGATAAAGAGAAGTTAAACTAAAACAGCATGCTTCTCTCTTTAAGAAAAAAGATGTTCCCTGCAGAAGTGGGAAATCAGTTGGTAGGAATACTTTCCAATAAAATATGAAGTCAGAACGAATAAAACTGGCAACTGGGATCTAAAAGGAAGATTAAGCCAAAATAATTACTTGGAAAATTTTAAAATAAAGCCGGAAAATTCTGGAAGGCCCATTAAATACGTTGTGTCTGCAGATTTTTTTCTCCCTTCAGTTATTATTGTCTCAAACTACTTCAGTTCATGAAACAGAGCCAGTTTCCCAGGATTTAGGGAAGGAGCTTTTATAGTTTTCTCTATACTTTTTTCCATCACTCAGCAGTTCTGTGGGTAAGTTCTTTCTCGCGTCTAACCTAAATCCTGCCCACTGTGGGTTGGGAACAATTCTCCTGAGAACAGAGCTGTTCCTCTCCTATTGGGTCATGATTAGTCTCCTTAGCGGAGGATTTTCAAACCCTTACCTTTTGAAGACCTTACTCCGATCACTGTTGTGGAAGACAAGAAACTTGGAATATCCGTTTCGGAAAAAGATCTCCAGGGCAATGTCCTGTAAAGAGAACCCCTTTTACTGCTCTGCAGTTTCCTGGAGTGGAGAACCACCCCCCCACCCCCTCACCAGGGCAACAGAGCCATGGCTGTGGGTCATGTGGGACTCTGTGTCAGGTGTGAAAGGATTTCAATCTAAAATGGAACCAAAAGATATGAAAGGGCGAACCTCAGGCATGCGCCCTCAGATAAACGAAACTTAAGAACTGAGAGACTGATTTCCCACAAATGCCTGATTTACAGAAGATCGAGACTTACCTCGTGAGCAATGAACATCCACCAAGAACCCCTCCCATCCTCAAGCCATTGAACTTACAGCTTGGACTCTGGCTGGACGCCCCCACTTGTGCTCCTTGCCCATAGATACAGCTGACGCTCAACGGATTCGCCTGTAGCTCCAGACAGCCTGCGTTTCATGAATGGCTATTCCTCTGCTATTCCTGAATTAACTCAATTTCTGCTAATTCAAGCTTGCCTCAGTTTACCTCTTTATCTAGGTTGACACAGGCCTTGCAACCTCCTGCAGGGGATATGAAGACCTTGGTGACAGTGACAAATGGGGTCTCCACAGAATGAGTAGGAGGGCAGGAGAACTAAGGGCTCCTTTGGCTGAAGCAGGAAACAAGAGCCCCACTCCCAGGGCAAGCGAGGAGGGGACAAAGAGAGGAAAGTGCCCAGTAACACCTCTAGACACTTTTACTTCCCGGTCAAGGGTTTCATTTCCTGAACCAAAGGGTCATCTTACCAGAAACACTAGGGGAGTGGGTGCCAGTCCCAATCTGGGCAGCATCTTACGCCAACCCACAGACTTGAAGGCACGGGGTGCTTTGCCAAACCACTTTGCTGAGCCATTTTGACGTGGCCACACTGACATAACAATGTTGTTTCAAGGGTATTTTGTTAATGCCTAAATGAACTCTACCTGCTTTCCTTTCTTTTTCCTTTCCTCCTCCCTCCCCTTCCTATCTATAAATAACAGACTTGGAATAGTGATAGAGTGAGTCCACATATAGGATCAGATGGGGTCAGCCAAAGAATACCCAGCATTTGAGGGAGGGCCTGGGAGAGGTGAGGCCTGGGCATGGAAGGAGAGACGGGGAGGGAGAGGGTCAGACTCAAAGATGGGGTCCTGCATCCAACAGCAGTCAGGTCCTGCTCCTGCCTGGCTGCAAGTGAGTTCTCAAAGTCCAGTTCATTAGATTCCTGAGCAGAGGGGAAGTGTCTGTAATGATAATGAAACACCCCTCTCCTCTGTGGGCATACATAAGAGCCACAGATTTGTCTTCTACAAGCAGAAATATAAACACTGTGCAAAGAGATGATGAAAGCAGAATTTATGAAGGCTACAGCCTGTCCCAGCAACCTTAAGTGCCCAGGCTCTGACTTTCCTCTGGGAGAATCTAGGGCTGGACAAATGGTGGCCTTGCTCATGAAGCTCTCCCAGCCCCACCTGGCCATCACACATGCTCTCCCACTTCTGGTTTCCACCACGGTCAGGCTAACCAACCATCTGGAAACAATCCCCTTTTACTGGGGAGAAAGACACTCACTTACTGATATCTATTTGCTTCTATATATAACCTGTAAGTACACATACAATTATTTTTTTAAAAAGTGGTTTTTTGAGTACTTGCTATGTGCCTAAAATGTGCTAAGTGCTGCTATATATGTAATGGTGGAAAAGACAAGACATGGTCACCTGTTCACTGGAGGGAAATGGAAGCCCAGAGAGGTGCCCGACTGTGCCAAAGCTGCAGGGCTGTGCTCAGGACTGGGCCCATGCTGGCTGTGGTCAGAATCATCAGGGCAGGGCCTCCTCCACCCGCCCCTTTCTAGTTCATTCTCCTTTCAGAGAAGGGCACTAAGGGCAGGCAAAATGAGAACCAGATCTTTGTGGGCAAAAGCAGCGGAGAGGGAGGGAGAGGGAGAGAGCTGGGTCAGATGTCAGCAGCTTGCTGGACCCTTGTCTGCAGGGCAGCTGATCCTCCCTAGAATGAGTCGTGTTCCCCCCCCCCCCCCCCCCCCAGCAAAGGCTCCCTGGAGCTTTAGTTTCAGAGAATAATAATGAGGCCTCCAGCAGGAGGATCAAGGGACAAAGAAATTTACAAATGAAAGGCACACTTATTCTGTTCCGGAGGGCCTAGCACTGTCCCTGTTGGCCTTTGCAGGACAGAGACCCTGCAGCAAGGGTGAGCCAGGAGGGATCTGGGCTCCCCCAAGGGTGGTCCCTCATCTCTTCCTCCGCCAGCTGCCTGGGAGGCCCCTGGGCATGGATGCAGCTTTGCTATTGCTGAGGTTGGGCTGGTGAAGGCAAGATGTGTTTGAGGCCAGTGGGAGCCCCAGAGTTCTTCCTCCTTTTGCCACTGAGGTGGTGCTCCTAAACCACGTGATGTTTCTCCAAGGTGGGGTATGAGAAGCATGTGGTTGTGCCTAGCTGACAGCAGAGCTCTGCCTCTGGAAGGAATCAGCTCTGTTTAGTAGCTGGATGAGCCCCTGAATGCACTGGACAAGGCTCTGGGATCCTGGCTGGAGGGGACAGTCAGGAGATCTCTAAAACACCTGGCCCAGGAAATGACCAGGAGCTTGAAGGTAGGTGAAGCTGTGAGGAGGGCAGAGGGTAGGGGCTGTGGCCTGAGGAGGTGACCACGTGCTCAGAACAGAGGGCAGACTGGCACTCCACTCTCAGTCACTGGCTCTGCCACGAGGCAATGGAGCTGCCCTGTCCTGTATTCCCGAATCTCCAAGGCAGCTCTGGGGCATGTCAAGGGGAAAATAAAGCAAAGAGGCTGGATCCTAAATGACACGGTAAGAGAGAGAAGGACCCAGTGGCCAAATGGCAGGGACTGTGGAGAGAGTGAAACAGAAGGCAGAACTCCATCCCAGCCAGGGGACCAGCCCAACATAGGCCACAGGGATTCACAGGTGTCTCAAAGGGCCCTGGGCTGTGCACAGGTGAAGGGGGTCAGGGAGGTGTGTCCCTCACATTCAGATGGGGCCTCAGTGGCACCTGGACCACCTGTGCCCGGAAGAGATGGTCCTCTCTCTGGCCCCCTCCCGGGACACACCTGCAGGAGGAAGCGTGCCTGCCGGAGCTCCCTGAGGTCACCGTAGCTGTGGCGCTGGCATGAGTAATGGTCGGAGGACCTGTCTTTGCTGCACATGTTGAAGATGAATGGATCGCTAATGCTGAAAAGGAAGCAAGACACGCAGTGAGAGGGTGTCTGGTAGGCTTGTTCCCCTGCAGGCACCGTGCGTGGCCCACCTGAGTTTCTGGGACACACTGGAGGATGTGTCAGCCCCCACTGACCTGATAAACCCTGTCTGAGCGCCTGTCTGTGTTAGCCGTGCCCTGAGGAGGAAGGCGGATCACTGCCCTCACCAGGGGAGGGACAGCAAGACAAAGGGCCCACCTCCAGGACGGATAATGACACAGGGTGTAAGTGTGAGAAGACTCTCTGAGTACAGGGGTCAGAAATGGGCTGGGGGTTTATGGGGGAAGAATGAAAGAGTTGTGTAGTTAGGTCTGGAGAAATTTCAAGCTCCTGGAACATGAGGCAGAAAGACAAGCCCTGTCCAGCATGGTGTCAGGCAACGCGGAGCCCTGGGAGGAACAGCCGTGTCAGCCGGGCTAGCACCTAGTGTAAAATGGGACAAAGGGGCAGAAAACTCTGAGTCTTCAAAGAGGCAGGTGGCAGGGCTGACAGCACTGATGGGCTGGAAGACGATGACCCCAGCGTTAGCAGTGGACCCCACAGCACCATGCCTGGACCAGGGACTAGCGCCATTGTAGAGAGCAGAGGATGGGCCGGCCAGGCCGGATGCTGGATGCCCGCTCCCGGAGGTCAGAATGACTCCCCTTGGGAAGAAAGGGAGAAGGGGGGAAGGAGGAGTCCTGAATTTGACTAAGTATTTATCCCAGAAAGAACAATTTTTTCACTGGAAGTAACTGAAATACCTTCAGATAACCAACCAGATGAAGCTTTCCACCACCAATACAAATGGGGACTTGAGAGAGAAATCTGATTTCAGTAGGGACGGCTCCATTTCTGCTCATTTGAGCTACACAGCAATTCTGCATTGCGCACATTACCACAAAGTGCTGATAAAACACCCTTTTAGCACTGGAGAAAGGAAGGGCCTTCCAAGCACCTCGGCCCTCCGTGAGACTGCGTGCCACCGCATGGCCGAGGAGCCCCGCACCAGCACTAGGTGGCAGGAATGTTTTACCTCCTCCCACCCCAGCTCCAGGGGCGGCCCTCACCGCCCAGCCTCCAGGGCAGGCCACGCTTCCAGGGGAAATGGAGAGAGATCAGGCCATCACACAGGCCCGCAGGACTTCTCTGGGCTGCGGTCAGAGCTGGTCCAGCATCTGCAGTGCTAAGAGCTCAGACTTGCACACTCTGCAGAATGGTTACTGCCAGGTAGAGGGGAAGGCTACCTGCGTGGGACACAGCCTGAGCCGGCTTTTCAGCACCCACATGGCCAGACCGCACCCTCGCGGACTCCTGCCCCTGCTCAGAACCACGCTCTCAGGGGCCCTGTTCTGGCCACACTGCTGTAGGACTGTTGAAACACAAATGTGGCTGGATGGTTCTGGATGCTTCTGCTTGGATGTTTTCATTCAAATCTACTGCTGGCTGAGGCCCTCTGTCCATTATTAATGCTTCCCTCTGGGGCTAAGCTGAGCTTCCCCTAAACTCCCCTGACTCCCAGAGAGGTCGTGGAGGTGATTCTGGTTCCTACCCTTGACTTAGGCCAAACAGCATGCCAGGTAAAGGCACTTGTGACAGTGACAATGATGTGATCTGTGGCCTGTGGTCCTGTGGCCCCGTTCTTGTGGGAGCACAGCAAACATTCTCTGTACCTTAGCTGCACCTTTGGTTGGTTTCTCTCCGCAGCTGACTATGAGTGAGTTCGTGGGGGCACAGACCTGTGCCCATGGTTCTCATCCTCCACATCTTTCCTGGAGCTCTGGGCATGTGTGCTGAGTGGACTGACCACCGTCATGCTCTACAGCCTGCTCAATACTTCCCTGTCCTTGATTAATTTGATCCACGTGCTGAAGTCTTACTGAGCATGTGTTGTTAGGATTCCCATATCAGAAACGAGGAAACTACATTCCAAAGAGAAGAGGTGACTTTTCCAAGGTCACAAGGAACTGGATTCAGACCAGGTCCTCTGAATCTAAAACCCAAGCTCACGCAGCCGCACCTTTTCTCCCCTGAGGCAGACAGGCTGGCTGGCAATTACAGAGCTTCCCCCACCAGCTCCCTCCTTCCAGTTTACTCTGTGCAGACTGATTCTCAACCTAGGACTCTGAAACACTGGTGACATGAGGAAGAATGCTCTGGAGAATGCTCTTAGGAAGGAGCTGTTAGGAGGAAAGATGGTCATTCTTCTCCTGCTTGTGGGGACTGAATAATCCATAACGCAGGAGTGCTTAGACAGACTCAGTTTCTCAGGAAGACTAAATTGTGAATGACATTATTGAGTTCATTGATGCAGGGTCCAGACTGGAGTTCCATCGTGCAAAGCATTAGTCACACAGCTAGGACTGCGTCTCTTTGCCAACACTATATTCTACATGTGCATTAAATCAGGGTTCAGGGCCCCAAGGTCAATGAGTAGAAAGGAGTCGCTGGTCCATGTTCTTCTTTAGATGGAGCTGTGGCCACAGTTCAAAGGATGCTGTTCACAGCTCTTGCATGACACCTATAATGATATATGCAAATTGCCCAGGGTGGTCATAGTAAAACTTCTAATATTCTTAACTAGGGAAATCACAGTCAACTAAATGATAATCAAGATATTGATTGACTGGGTCTTTGGTAATAGAAGGGGATTTCAAACTAAAACATACTTTGATTTGCCCCACATTTGTATGTATCCAATTGTTGTCAGGAATTTATACCTGGAATTTATACCCAAATAACTTGCTAGATCCCAAACGCTTTACCAGACTCAGCCCACATCTGACTGATCTATGTATCTGTGGAGTCTACCACCGTGCTGGTACAAGACAGACTTTCAGTAAGTATTTGTTGAATTAAACAGAGAGATGATGCCTTAAAACTGCTGACTGATGTGAAGGAGATATCTGACTAAAAGCACCCCGTCACAAGGAGCCAACTGGCTGGTCTGGATTCCCACCAAATGAATCAAACGCTACGCACTGTGAGCTCGGCTGCTACTGTTATGGGTTGAATCGTGTTCCCTAAAAGATATATGTTGAAGTTCCTAATCCCCAGTACCTCAGAATTTAACTTTATTTAGAAATAGGTAAATAACAGAGGTAATAAAGGGAGGTCATTGAGATAGGCCCTAATCCAGTATGACTAGTCTCCTCATATAAAGGGGAAACTTGGGACACAGAGACAGACACACACGGGGAGAAGATGGCCATGTGACCGAGTGATGTATATACAAGCTATGGACCACCAAGGATTGCCAGGAAACACTAGCAGCTAGAAGAGGCGAGGAAGGATCCTCCCCTAAAGCTGTAGAGGGAGCATGACCCTGCCGACACTTTGATTTCAGACTTTTAGCCTCCAGGACTGTGAGACAATAAATTATTATTTTTTAAAGCCACCCAGTTTTTGATACTTTGTTACGGGAGCCCTAGACAGCTATTGGGTTGGCCAAAAAGTTCGTTCGGGCTTTCCATAGGATGTTATGGAAAAACTCTAACGAACTTTTTGGCCAACCCAGTTAGTACAGTCACCCTATTCTGCCAAGAAGAGATCCCACTGAAAGCAAAATATAACCTTCTAGAAAGGGTCTTACTTTCTAAGGAAAGTTCCAAAGTACACAAGCCAGTCCCTGCTGGAGGACTGGCAGTGCCCTTGAGTTTTGTTTGGGATATTTTCATGGCACGCTGGGGAGTCTCCTTCAAGGTCTAACGCTCAACTGTACTCAAATTGATGGCAGTCTTCTAGAGAAACGTTTCGGAGGTGACTTAGCTTTATGTTTAACTGGCTTATTCACGTATCTTCCTTAGTCTCCATGGTCAAAATAAGACTTAATCCCCATTGATCTGACATGATCTAATGGCCCATCTCTGAGAACCACAACTCCACGAGTGCCAGCATTTTCTTAGGGCAGTAGACAGGGGATCAGAGAGAAAGCACTGTCTGGTTAACAAACACTTCTCTGAGGTACGGTGACTAAAATTACCTATGGCAATTCCCAAACGATATTCCAAGGTGGTAATTTATTCTCACTACTCTCCTATTTGCATTCTAGAAAAGTACATTTCCAGACTTGAGTACGTCCAACCTGACAACTGGGCTTCTGTTGAAAGTGCAGATATAGTCAATTTGATCATGATTACATACACCTCATAAACACAATTTACCTAATCAATAAGGTCTTATCTAACACCAACTCAATTTAAACCAGAGGTGGAGAGTGAAGCAATGGTTTATGCAAGTCATTTCATGGGCACGCCATGCATATACGTAGAGGACAAAGCTTTCATCAGCTCTCAGAAAGGCGAGTCAGCAGACCCATTGTCCATATTGATCAGTATCAATAAAACATGAGCAATAAGATGGGATGAGTGTGCCAAGTATTAATTATGCTCCTGCCTTGGAAAAAGAACAGAAGACTCACTGCAATTGGTGAACGTTTGGTATGAATAAAAGATGGAAATTAGCAGAGAGAAAAAGGCCAAGCATTTTAAAACAAACCTAAATCAAAGGAGGGTGGGCTGACATCTATCCTTCTGTGCTCCTTAAACTCTTGCTTCCTGACATAGGCTGGAAATGATATGACACCTGGGAGTTAAAATTCTTAGTTATTGGCAGGTAAGGCTCTGGTTCCTCTGTCAATAGTCTTAAAGAGTGGTTCTCAAAGTGTAGTCCCAGACCAGTAGCATCAACATTAGCTGAGAACTTGTTAAAAATCTTCAGCCCTAACTCAGACCTACCACATTAGAAACTGGGCTGATAAGGGGTCCCAGAAGTCTGTTTTAGCAAGCCTTCCAGGTGATTCGATGTAGTTTAGTTTGAGAGCCACTGGGCTAAGAGGTCATTTTGTCATTACTTGAGCCTTAGCTAACCAGAAAAGAAATCTACACCTAAATTTCTCCAAAAGTGATGAAAACATACAACTTGAGAACTGAACCTTTAGCAAAAGTGCAAACACAATCAATTTGGTTTTGAATGGCAGTACTTTATAAACACTAGAGAATTAATCAATAAGAACCGAATGAACCCAAGTAGACCAACTGCATTGGATCCTAAAGAAGAACCTCGGAATTTCCTGCCAAAGACCTCTGGTATTAGTTGGTGTAAAAATGACTCTTCAGATTTCTACCCAAGTCTCACCCATCCTTCAAGACCCAGATCTTAGCCTACTTCCTCAAGTACCTGTCCCTCACCACACAAGCCCCATGCCATCTCTCCAAGCATGAACCCCGAAGAGTCCTCAAATAACATGTATTTTGTCCCTTGATGACAGTGTGTTCCAAACTCTTTCCAAAAGAACCTGTTTATGCTGCTGATTGCGCTCATGTGCCTTGCGGGCATGAAGGGACAGGGCCTGATGTCTTGCATAAGGATGAACAATCAAAGAAGTTGTTGAATGACTAAGCTGATGGGACTGGATTCTATTACCCAAACAACCGAAGGACCTATGCCCTTTGTCCTGTGGTGCATTCCACAGCAGGAAAGCCCCAGGAGCTGCTGCATTGTTAACCGCTCCAGATTTTAGCTTTGGGGAACCACAATCATGATGCCTATGCCTTAAGGTTCCTCTGTTTTATCTCGTGGCTCAGTTTCAGGCCCAAACCTGAGCCCATAGAAAGAACAAGGTGGGAGATATAGGCATGGGGGTGGCTGAGAAGGCAGCTTGGGGCTCAGGGCAGAATCTGCTGGGAGGGGAGGGACACTCACTTGGATAAGCAGTGGCGGGTGCAGTAGACATCACCCACGGGAGAGAGTGTGAAGTTCTCGCAGATGTAGAAGTGCTGCTGGCCAAAGAGCAGGAGCCCTTCGCAGACCAGGTGACCCTGCACGATGACCAGGGAGTACTTCTGTGTCACCTGCAGGGAGAGAGTGCCAGTCAGGCCACGTGCAAAGGAAGCATGCCCATCTCCTTTTGGAGGGCAGGAGGGCAGTGGCCGGTCGCCCACCAGGCCCTTGGAGGTGAGAGTAGCACCCTGTAAATGACAGAGCCGCTGCCCCAGAGCTGCACTGCTCTTCACAGTCTAAGTTTCATTTCTACACCCAACACCCTGTTTCATTATTTCATCTACCCAAGGCCACCCCACCCCCACCGAGGCATGTGGATGAGTGTTTATTGCTGTGTTGAGCACGTTGGCCTTTTTTTTCCTCTCACTTTAAGCTCCTCTACAACTGTGCAAAACATTCCTCCGTAAACAAAGAGGAAAGTTTTCAAGGTCCAAGGCATCCCTCAGTTACAAAGGCGAAGGAGCTTGTCCAGAGGCCAGCTGGAAACTGGCTGAGCCAGGACTGGAACCGGGTCTGCCTAGAACCACAAGGCAAGACTGGTACTGCTGTCTACAAGGCCAAGGCTGGTCCAAGGTGTGCGCAGAGGTGGCACGAGCTCCGCCCAGGTCTCGTCTTTCAGGCTCAAGCACGTTCTCTCAGCAGCTGAAGATGTTGGCAGCTTTCCAGAATCCCTCAGCTAAAGAGAGTACCTGGCCAAAGGTCATGTCCTCATCCCAGTGGCCGTCCGTACCCACCAACTGGTCAGAGAAGGAAGGGCCAGACCTTTTGCCTCCACTCAGGTCAACTCTGAGCTCCCGTGGGATCAGCCGAGGCCTTGCTGAGTCTGCCCTTCTCGCTGGGCCCAGTCCAATGACCCGCGCTCCCAATGGACTTGCTGCACGCACATCTCTGGCTCAACGCTGGCTTTCTGGCGAGCCTGACCTGAGAGGGTGTCTTATGACCCAGAGTCCCGCATGAAGTAAGGACTAGGTGGGTCCTTACAGGGAAAAAATCTCCAAAGGAACGAGTGAGAGAATACATGAATTTTTAGATGTCGGGAGCCCAAATGGACCAGAGTAAGACCAAGACCAACATTTTCTCAGGGTAATTCTGTGCTAATTCCAGTTATCCAAAAGAGGACCTGATTTTTTTTTTTTACTACCTACTTTTTTTTTTTATAACCATTGTAAACATTTTACACATATTAACCAGTATAATCCTTACAGTTGGGCAAGGGTAGTTTTACTACTCTAATTTAGAGATGGAAAAAAAAGGGGTCCCAGAGATAAGAATCTCATCAAAGATGGGTAAGTGGCAGAGCCTGGGACTGAAGTTAAGCTCTGTGCTCACCTTTGGGAGCAATGATAGGACTGCAGTGGTGAAGTCTGGAAAGCAGCCCTGGATACCAGTTCTCACACCGCTGCATCAAACAGGATTAGTCAAAGTCAGGAACAAACAAGAACCCAACAACCGTGGGACTTAAAATCCAGTGGGGGAAGACACATCAACTAATAAACTATCACAGACTGTGATATGTGTTGAGAGAAAAAAAAAAAACAGGTTGATGACAATAAGGCAGAGAGAAACTTGGAGGGGACACTATTTTAGACAGACCCTGAGACTTGAAGGATGGAAATGGGTAGTCATGCAGAAGCTGGGAGAAGAAACTTCAGGGAACGGGAACATCCAGCTCAGAGCCTAGAGGCAGGAAGGGCAGGTTTGGGGAGCAGAAGAGAGGTCAGTGTGGCTGGTGAAGCTGCAAAGTAGGTGTGCTCAGATCCTGGGGGCCTTAGATGTCTTCATTTTCCTGTGAAGCCTCCCGTGTACATGTAAAAATAAAACCTGTACACATTTCTCCTGTCAGTCTGTCTTCTGTCCACTGAATTCTCAGGCCTAGCTGGAGACTCTAAGAGGGTAGAGGGAAAGTTTTGCTTCTCCTGCGGTATGTTATACTGAAGAGATTCGGTGAATACACAGCATGTTTTGTACATATTCTTTTTTTACACAAACCGCATATTCGTATAGTTACTGGTCTGTATCTAGTTTTCTCCCTGAATAGGCCATCTAGCAGATCCTTCCAAATCACTTCTTATAGAGTTGTCTCACTTTTATTAAACGGTGCAGACCATTCCCTTGCATGGATGTACCACAACTTATTAGACCGACCCCCTATTGACTCAGGTTGTTTTCAAATGTTTTGACATCACAAGTGATGCTACAGTGACCAGCCTTATACACATGTCACTTGGGACACATGAGTAAATCTTTAGGTTGAATTCCTAGAAGCAGAACTGCAGGTCAAGGATGTGGACATTTTAAATTGTGATCTAGTGCCAGCCTGCCCTCCTGCAAGGTGACACTAACTTACACTCCCAGCAGCACTGCTGCAGGGTGTTTATGTCCCCTATGCCGAGCCATTGCAACGTTTTTCTTATGCCTTTGTACGGAGGATGCTTCATCCTCACATTCACATGCTCACACGCGGGGCCCAAGCGCAGTCCAGGCCTATGTACCTCCCAAACCTCTCCCCTCCCCACGATGCCGCCCCCTCACCCAAACTCTGTGCCAAGAGCAGGGGCTGCAGCATGTTTCCATGATCTCCTGATGTTTTCCCTTGGGGAGAAATAAATAACAACCAGAATAAACGAAACCACAAGAAAAACGTCTGGTGAGAGCTGGGTTTATAGCTTAAAAATGGACTCTGCTAGGAAAGAGTGGCATTCTAAAAACTGGAAAATGAATCCAAGTGAACTCTTCCCTGCTCTTCCATTTAAATTAGTCCTGAGAGGGCTCCACCCCCAAGTTTAATCATGATTAGGAATTCCCTCCTGCCATGATTCTATCACTTTAAAAAGACTGGAACTTCAGCTTGATAAGTAGAATGTTTTAGGATCAGCTAGATGATATATTTCATTCCTGATGGGTGAATAACCAAGTACATGGCCACACCTGGTTCTGCGTATGATAAGGAACAGGTTGTCTGGAAATCCAAAACTGCCAGAGCTCAAGTTAGAGGGACAACAGTTGGCTGGGACATTCTACGGAAGCCCACGCCAGCACATTCTCCTAGAGGCAGCCCTCAGTGTGCAAAAGGGGAGGCCAACTGGAGGCTCCCTGAAGATTTTTTCCAGCATTACTAGTCTGCAGTTGAGTACAATGCTCTAATTTTACAGGTAGAAGAAGTGAGATTCAGAGCTCATATGAAGTACCCAGTAAGAGAGCTAACGTGTACATTCTCTTATACTTGTGCGAAAAATCTACTGCAAAGAAAGCTTCAACCGTGCTCACATGTGTCACGCTTCCCTTTCCACACGTCTGCTCGCCTAGACCTTGTTATCAATACATTCTGTTACAGTGTGTATGGAATAAGTATTCTCTTATCTCAAAAAACAGTACAGATTGCTGAGAAAAAGTTAAGTATCAAAAAGGAGAGAGACTATTTCAATTCCATTTGTGCTGGCTACCTATGAATTCGGGCATCTACTTTTTCTCTATTGATCACTTCTAGATGGAGCATTCAGTCACGCTAGTAAGCAAAGAAATGTATATTAAAACAATACGGAGGTATTATTTTTATATGTCAGTTTGGCAGATCTGAGAAGAAATATAACACTTGGATCTCCTGACGGCAGCTCGTATTTTCAGGTGGAGACAAGGAGCAGGGATGCCCCCTGCCTGCCTGCACGTGCCACTTGCACAGCAAGCCTGCCAACAGCCAACCCTTTCTCTGCTGGCTCAGGGGAGACCAAACGGAAAAGAATTGAAACTGCACCAGTATAATGAGAAAAGGATTACAAGTCCTGAACTGTTCAAAGCGCGGTGTGTAGCATTAGCTGCATTTAGAATCTGCACTCAGTGACTGAAGTTGAAGCATGTTTCTAGCCAGGGCAGCTCTGTATATCGTGAAACCCAGACTTGTGGATCTCAGCATTTATTCGAAAAGTTAGTATGTATGAGAATCACCCAGGCAGCTTGTTAAAGTTCATCTTCCCAGGTTACATTCCCAGTTGTTCTGATTCAGCAAGTACAGAATGGGCCCTGGAATTTGCATTTTAATAGGCAGCCCAGATGATTCTGATGCAGACAATCTGAAAACCATACTTAGAAACTGATCCGTGGACACCAGCGAGGCTCTGAAAGTAGAGGTCCCATCACATGCAGGCACATTGCTACAACTCATCCATTTTCTCATGCTTTCATTTAATAGATACATATTGAATGTTTGGCCTGTGCCTCCACACAAACATAAAGGGAGGGAAAACACATCTTGTGGTGCGCATGGTCTAACAGGAAAGAGAGAAGAATACCAACTGTCCTGGTACAGCATGGGGCTGGGGGAAAATACAAGCATTCTCAGGGCACTGAGGAGAGTGCCTGGCCCAGAAAGCATCCAGGGAGTGGGGGGGCAGGTGACATCAGAGAAGTGGGTCCCAAGGACGTGACCCCAAGGCTGAGGTTGGGTGTTGAGATGATGAAAACAGAGGAGAAACTTGGCAAGGTACAAAGTCTTGAGCCAGTTGGACATGTTTAGAGATTATAAGTCGTTCTGTATAATTAGAGTAAAAAGGCAGGTGTGTGTGTGTGCACACACTCGTCCACTCATGTAAGGGTAAGGGAAGCAAGTCCAGGGAAGCACAGGGCCAGCTCAGTGGCCCTGTGCACAAAGTATGCCAAAGAGAGTCTCAGAAGGTGTTCAGTAGGGATGACATGTGCAGCTCTGCATTCTAGTTACTCGTGGCGACTCACCCAGGGGGGTAGTTACTACGTGCAGAGGTTAACACAGTTCTTTGCCTTCTACAAATGACGTCAGCTAAAAATACCTAGGAAGGGCCTGATGCCGCTCCCTGCTGTTCAGAGCAAAATGATCTCCCTGTGAGCTGGTTTCATTTCTAACAAGGTCAAACTAATATTTTACATTGAGTTTGTATGAAAAAAAAAAAGTTTAGTTTTTCATGTAATTAAAAAGAACAGCAAGAGTAAAAACAACTCCCATGTGAGTTCTAACTCTGGACTGGGTCTGGAAGCACATTTTTTTAAGTGGAGACTCACTTCACTTCTGTGAGCAGCTCTGTGGAGGGGGAACAAGGGACCG